TATAGTGCATCTTGTAGAGAATTTTTCACTCTACGAGATTTTGAGAAAAACCTATCAGGAAAGACAGAGATGTATTGTTTCCGAGGCATAAGTTTGTGTTCTTGTCACTGGTATTTAGCAGATTTTGTCTAGAAAAAGTACTGAGACTTTTTTCATCGAAAAATTTACCCTTGATCCCGTCAGGGTTTAGTCGAAAAATGAAATTCAACAAAAACTTATTCTGACAGTGAATGAATAACAAGTTCTGCGGTTTTTAAATAATAGTAGGACACAATATAGAAGATGATTAAAAAAAATTAAAAGAGCGTTTTGACGAGTTTCATTTTTTGACTAGACCCTGACATGCTGATTCAGAATGTCACATTAATTTTCATCAAATTATCATTTTTCTAAGCAAAATCCGCTAAATACTAGTAAAAAAAGCACAAATTTATGCCTAGGAAAAAACGCGTTCTGATTTTCCTGAAACTTTTGTAGGGCGTAAAATTTTCTACAATCAAAAAAAACCTCAGTTTAATAAAAGTACAGTTTTTCAGGAAAGCTATTAAAGATTTTTTTGTTCAGTTCTATGTGCTCTTTCAAATAAAATGACAAAAAATGACGGAGATATAACCCGCCTTTTTTCGTTTGTCAGAGTCTCTCATGTTTTGGATGCTTATAATTTCATCGAATTAAATTTTAGGAGTTTAAAAATTTTTTTCATAACACTAGTTTAATATTATAAATCGATTGATGTTAAAAAAAAACGTATATCTTAATTTCGACTTTCTCGATGAGCTCGTGTAATTTCTCGTAAAATCTTTATATCATAAGAAAAATATACCTCTATGATGCACATCAAAAATCATCTTGCATGTTAGCCGTAATAGAGCAATCATTTCAATTGTAAAAAATTCTAAAATGTATACAATCAATTTAATTACATTTATATGCAACGTATATGAATTTAAATCTTAATCTCGTATAGCAAATTTCTTTATTTTTGTTTTGAGCACGTAAATAGCAATGTATTATTTATTTTTAAATGTCTACCTCACTCTGTCTTGAACAGTTGATGAAGTGTTTTTAAATATGGGATTGTTACCTTGTAATTTTCCAATAGTTATTTTAGAATCGGAACGCGTCTCGTATGCTGATGAATCAGTCTGAAATAATAAAAAAAACAAAAGATCAAATTTTTTTTATTTGAAACAATTGACAAAAATACCAGTACAGATTCTGCTACACTAGTCGGTCGTGATACAACACGTCTTTGATTTGTTAAACGTTTTTGGTGAAATTCATGCTCAATTTCATCCGTAGTATTTCTATGTTGTTTTCCCATATCACTTATGTTATCTTGTATTGAAGCTATAGTTTGTTGATATTCATTTACTTGTTTACCATGTAATGTTCGTTCTTGATTTAATCTTTAATAATGAAGAAAATAAATAATTTAGAAGTTTGATAAACATGAAATCAAATATAGTATTCTTTTATTCATTATTGAAAATAGGTGTAGCCACGCACCAAAAAAAAACAATTTTGGAAAAATTTGATCAGCGAAGTGTCACGTTACATCGACAAACAGTTATACGGTCTCTCTCATACAGTACTGGTGAAAAATACAAGATCAATGTATTTTTTAATGTTGCTAGGATCCTAAGCATTTAACTCAAACCCAAATATTGGTTTGAATTGTCAATGAGATTTTCTATCAAATGCATTTCATACTAAAATTTTAAACGTTGTCATGTGCCAAAAGACTGTGAATTTAGTTTTTAAAAGTGCCATTTTAAAGAGCACGAAATCCTGATTAAAAAAAAACGGTTTTAAGCAATTTTATGATAAATTTCGCTTTGTGATGTTTATAACTTTTTAAGAGGAGATCGTAGAAAATGCAGCAATCTCTCATTTTAATCAAGACTTTGTGCGCTTTAAGATGATATTTTTAAAAACTAATTTTCGTACAGTCTTTTGGTACCTGACAACTAACATGTTTGGTTTGAAGTTTCAGTTTAGGATGCATTTGACAGAAAATTTCATTTCTTATTCAAATCAATATTTGAATTTAAATTAAATGCTTAGTATCGTAGAAAAAAACATGCTAGTGTTATATTTTTGATCAGTAGTGTCAATGCACATCTGATAACAAGTTTTCTTTTTTTTACATAATCATAAATATGCAAAATAAGTTTTTAATAAACGGTTGAAAATTAGTGTCAGAACAATTCGTCGCGAGTATGTGAATGTAGGTAGGAAGCTCTTGTGTATCCTCATCGACACCCTAATCCATGCACCTAGAGGTGTAAATAGATGAGTTGATCGGAGGCGTTTCAGCCGTTTAGCTTACACCTCTACACGCATCTATACCTACACTTTCAATTAGATTTGAATCCTTGAACTCATGCGGAATGGTTTTCATGTATTCATAGGATATAGGAGAGACATTAAAAGAAATATAGTCTTACACATCATGTGATTGTTCACGTGGTTTAACAAGATTTTTAAGATGAATTTGTTGATTATCTTGTTGATCCTTATTATCGTATACATAAGTATAATTTTCATTAGTATGTGTTTCTTTAATGTTTGATAAATCATTAAAAGGATTTATTTTTAAACGATTTAAATTTAATTTTAATTGTTCAATTGTTTGTTTTGAATCAAATAATTGTTGTTTTAATTGATCATAACGTGTTTCTAAACGTTTTTGTTCACGTTGAAATTCATTAATAATATTATTATAACCATTATCTAATTCTTTTTTCATTACTTCCATTCGTTTTTGATATGTATCTATAAGTTTAGCTTGATGTTGACTTAATTCAACATTTTCATCTTAAAAAAATAAAATTTAAATTAAACTAAAATTTATTGTTTTTTTTTTGTTGTTTATATTTAATCTTACGATATAAACGATCAATTTCTGTTCGATACATTTTCTTAATTTCTTCTATATCTTTTGCAGAATTATTTATTATTTGAATTGGTGCAATAATTTTACGTTTATTTTCAATTTCTTTAGTTAATTTTTGTCGTAATTGTTTTATTTCATATTGATGTCGTTTAAGATCATTTTCATAACGACGACTATATTCTTGTTCAATACTTAATCTTATTTTTGAAACTTGTTGTTGTAAATGATAATCAGCTAAGTTAAGTGTATGAGTTGATTCTTGTAAACGTTTTTCAAGTTGTTTTTTTTCAACACCAAGAGATATAAGTTTTTCACGATATTCAAATTCAGCATTCTATTTTAACAAATAAAATACAAAAATTAATAAATGATTAGTTCGATTTGAGTTAAAGCAGAGAGACTGACACTTTTTTTTTGACATAAGAGAAATGTTAAAATTTTGATGGATACAACTGAACAATGAGTGAGAATCACAGTTTCGCATCAAATAGAAGTTTTAGTACTCTGTACATAATATAACATATTACAACCAATATAAACAGTTTCTCATAATATGTGATCATTGAAGAATTTTTTCACTTATAAATAAAGTAGCTTTTTCATATTTTAAATGGTAAATTCGTGACGATGCTACAGATAGCGATTTCATGAGAGATACAGCACTACATGTTATTCGTAAGAGACAATTCTAATGTGAAGTCTGATATACATAAAATAGCTTTTTCATTGCTAGAATTTCGAATAACTAAAAAATAATCAGCGAATATCTCTCTAATCATATGAAGAAAACAATGCGAAAACTTCAGAATAGGCTCTACGGCACGAACTACATCTATAGTGAAATTTTCAGCAAGATTAGATTCTCAAAAACTGTTTTTCTAGAGCAAATCCCGGGAGAGGAATCTTTGTCTTAACAATATCTAAAGATTCTGAGGAAGGATTTTTATCGTTCGGAATTGATGTTGCCTCAATTCGGGGTCTTTCCTAAGTTAAAATGCATAAAGTGAAAATCGGTGTGCATTTTAACGTTAGTTGTTTTTTTTACTAATAACTCCTCTTAACTTTCAGTATTTTCAAATAGTAAACTAAAACTTTACTTGATTAACAGTTGATTGTGTTTGATTTAATTCTTGAGTTTGTCTTAGTAAATTATTAATTGTTGTTTCATATTGTTCTTTACTATCTTGTAAATGTTGTTGACATTGATCAAAATGTAATTTCAATTGATTATATTCATCTTCTTTAGTTTTTAATATTTCTTTTGTTAATTTTAAATCATTTTTATTTCTATCACGTTGTTGTATTAATTTTTGTAAATTATCTTCTAATTTTAAACGAAATTCTTCATATTGTGTAATTTTATTTTCATAATTATTTATACGTGCTTGTAATAATTGTATGTCTTGTTTTAAATTATTTTGATCATGACCAGTTTCTTTTTGAATAGATAATAATTCTTCTTTTTGATGATGATTTAATTCATTTAATTCTTTTATTTCATTTAAAAGTTTTTCTTCTTCATGTAAAAAATTTTCTTTTAATTCAATTTTTTCTTTTTTAATTTGTTCAATTGTATTTAATAAACTTTGATTTTCATTTTTAATTTGTTCAATTGTATTTAATAAATTTTGATTTTGATTTTCAAGTATTGAATAATTTTTTAATATTTCTTTTTGTTTTAGATTTAAATCATAATAATCATGTTTTAATTGTTCAAATTCTTTTTCAGTATATGCTAAACGATTATTAGCATCTTCTAAATAAGAAATCAAATATAAGAATACAATTATATTAATTTTGCAAGAATTCATAAAGTTTTGTTTTTAGAAAAAAATCGGATATAGAAACATTAGAATTTATGCAAGATTAATTAGTGTACCAATAGATAATGATATAATTATAAGCAGTGTGTATTCCTACATGTTTGAAAGGAAAGAAGTCCGTAGAGAAGCTTATTTTTTATGGTATTATAAATTACAATAGATAGAAATGTCTGCCGTAATTTATTAGACATAGGAAAAATTCTATAGAAATATCAACAATTGTTAATAATCGTACACAGTGATGGAATCGGTTCAGCTCTAAAAAACGTGAAACAATTCTATCTCTGATATCTTCTCAATGGATCAAGTAACCTGCCATGCTAAATTAATTGCTGAAATTTCAATCTATGATTTTCCACAGAGAAATATCGTAGGGAGTTCAGTCTTTCACATATCGAAAAAGCAAAGTCTGAGCTTCAGAAAATCTAGGAAAAAATATTTGAATGCAAAAAAAAACTCTTGTAATTTCTGTGGTCTTCAAACGTATCACTTGCATCACGCCTATTTCTTTTTCTATATCAAAAAACAATTGCTCTGATTATCTTTTGAATAACTTTTGATAGGAACAATATGGAAACCTGCGGTTTTCTCCATTCAACAGAGAAGAACCTGGGCCATTCAGATTTTTAAAAAGATGTTCTGAAGCCATTTTCTATTGGATTTTGACTTGAAATATAACCAATCGATATGAAAAATTCTTCTCTTTCGATCTACGGAGGTTTCAACTTTCTAGTATGTTCTGTTCAAGAGATCCCCGATTGTAGCATATTGTTCTTGAAAGACTTCAAACAAGCTCAAAACAGAAGTAATTCATCATGCTGAGTCGAATAGTAATGTTTGTTTTAAGTTTCAAAGCAATCTTGGACCAATATTTCAGTATGTTTGAAATTTCAAAAATTTCCCCTACACAGCATAAAAATCGAAATTTCAAAAATCTTAAAAAAGTAGTTTCAAGTCGCTTTCAAAACTGAAAATACACATCACTATTCGATTCATCATGATGAATTATCCCTGTCTTGAGCTCTTGTGAAGTCCCTCAAGGTCAATTTGCTGAAGCTGAAGGTTTTTAGAAATCCCTTGTAACTCTTGAATGAAATATGCTAGAAAGTTTGAGCTTGTGTAGATCGAAAGAGAAGCGTTCTTCCTATCGATTGGTTATTTTCCAAATTGGAATCTAATGCAAAATGACTATAGAATATCTTTTACAAAATCTTCAAAGAGAAATCACCTAATTGGTCGATTATTGACCAATCAAATTTCAGTATACATGGATGACCCCAGATCTTCTCTGCTGAATGGTGAAAACCCCAAGTCTCTACATTGTTTCTATCAAAAGTTATTCAAAAAGTAGTTTAGGGCTATTGCTTTTTGAAAACGACATTAGAAGAGTGGTTGTCACTCTTTCAAATGGTGTATGATAAAATATGTTTTGATCCACGTTACGATCGAAGCACTTTACAAGGTATTTATTGATTTCAAAAACTAAGTCATTTGGCTTAATCAATAGTTTCTAGATGCTGAACAAATTTTTCTCGTTTTTCTAAAGCACATTTTGCTGAAACAGCATGCAATGCTCTACAAATTCAAATTAATTTGAACATTTACTAATACGTATAATGCGCTTTATTTTTTCAAGAAAAAAAAAGCGAAGAAAAACCGTATGTCGCAAGAGTTCTTTTAACGATATTTCATATCGAACTTTTTTCTCAGTTAAAAGTTAATTTCAGAAAATTTTTTCCCATGTTTTTTCGAAGTTCAGATTATACTCTTTCAATAAAGGAAAGGAAAGAACTTTCTACGATATTCCTAAGCAGATAAACGATATTAATTATTGAATACGATTTATTATTAAATCATAGAACTTACCATTAATTTTAAGTTTATCAATTTCATTATTTAATTCAATAGTTTGTTTTTCGTGTTTAATTTTCATGGCTTCCATTTCTTGATAGAATTCTTTAGATTGTTGTTCTAAATCTTGATTATATTTAATTTTTAAATTTTCATTATCTTGTTCAAGTTTTTTTTGATTATTTTTATAAACTAAAACTTTTTCATTATATTCTTCTTCAAGTACTCGACGTAAATCATCTAATTTAGTTTTTAATTCAAAATCAAATTTTGTTTGTAATGTATCATTCATTGGATGTTTTTCTTCACTTATATCTAAATTAAAAATATATAACAACAACAAAAAAAAAAAAAAGAAAATTTAATTTATTACCCATATAAAATTGTTTTGTTTTATCTAATTCAACAACATCTTCACGTAATTGTTCAAGCATTGTTTGTAATTCATGTTTTTCATATTCATATTTTTCTTCTAAATCTGCATAATTTTTTTTTAATTTTTCAATTTCATTTGTTAAATCTTTTATTTTTTCCATATGAATACTTGTAGTTATAACTGTTTCATTTGAACTACTACTACTACTACTACTGCTGCTACTACTAAGACTACGTTTTGATGAACCTTCATAATCTTGAATTTTACGTTGTAATTCTTCATTCAATTCAGTAAGATGTTTTTCTTTCGATGCGAGTTCATCAATACGTTCTTTTAAACGAATATTTTCATTTACTAATGAGTTGTCTAATGGTACTTTTTCATTTCTATTATGATAATCAATTGGAGTATTATTTGTAGATAATATAGTATCATTAATTTTATGTTCATTTTCACCAAGACGTTCGCGCAATGTTCGAATTTCTGACTAAATTATAAACTCACAAAGAAAAAAAAATTTATTTTTAGAAATATGAAATACTACCCACCCATGTTATTACTACCATGGTAGATTCTTATTGTCACTGTTATAATCTTTTTTTTTTCGTTTTCTATTATCAGAGATAGACTCAAATCTTTTTTTTTTTCTTTCTCTTTTGTTATCTTACACTCGTAGTGGGACATGAATGTTACAAAGAGACAAAACCTTTATGACAAACAAACATTCGCAGGCAAAATGATTTTTTCTTTTTTTGTTCGATAAATAAAAATAGTAAAAAGGTCAATGAAAAATAAAAACTATTTTAATTTGATAGAAATAATAAAAGTTCTATGTTGATCGACAAACAAAAGAGAATTCTACATATTGAATACAAAATTCGAATATGGAAAAAGAAAACTTCCAGAGATTTTTATTAATTTACAAAACTATGATAAGAACTGTAACTATATAAGAGCGACGTTCGTGTAAATTTATATTTTTAAAATTGTAATAACAAGTGGAAGCTTTTCTACATATAAAAATGATTTTATTTCTTTTTCGATCTTAAAGTGAGGTTTAAAAACATATAAGAACAAGTACAAACATTATAATCATTAATAATTTTCAAGTTATAACTAATTCTAATACTATAACTTAATTTTTCTATAAAAATAAATTCCATTCTTAAAGAGCTAAAATTTATTTGTGACATTCTATAAAATAAATATAACAAAAAAACATTTGTTCTAAGAAAAATATTTGCTTCACATTTATCTAATACAATATGAATTCATCAATATTCACTCATATTTTATTTAAATTATGAAACCATTTAAGTATTCAACATTCAGGTTTACAATATTAACTATAATAGAGATGTGCAGAGTACGGTAATATCTTATCCTATATCTTGGCTAGAGTTTGTCGGTTCCAAAAACTACCCGAAACCGTGGTTCTAGCTCCAGTTACTAAAAAATGAGAAACAGTCGATTCCAGTTTTTTTGCAACCGCTGAACTCTAACCTTGACTGAAAAAAAATTTCTAACTCTTATTCTGTACATCTCTAAACTATTAATAACTTTTTCATAAGCTTTAGCTCGCTTTAATTAAATGGATTAACCAAGTTTCTTTTGTTTTTGTGACAGAAAACTATTTAAAATTTACTGAAGTTCATTTTGTAATTTATTGATTATATAAATTTTATGAAGTACTATATATGTACTCACAATGGCTGATTAAGATTTTTTTAAATCTTAATAAAACTACATTTCGATAAACATATGTGTAATTTTTTAGCATTTTTGATTATCTTTAGTCATATTTGTTAATTGTCGTTTAATTTCTGTTTGATTAGATGATTCCAATGAGCTTGTGATAAATAAATCAAAATATTTTTTGTTGACAATCATGTAATTGTTCATTTAAATGATTAATTGTTTCTATTCGTTCAGATAGAGCCTTGAAATTTGTAGAAAATAAAATAATTTTTTTCTTAACGAAAATATATATAGTAATTAATTTACTTTTTCGTTATTTTTATATATAACTTCTAATTGAATACGAAGTTCATTGATTTCAACATTCTAAATTGAAAAAAAATTCAAATTTTATAAATTATTCTTATTGTAAATAAAACCTTTTCTTGTAAATTTTGTTGAATATTTTGTAATTTTTCATTAAGAGATATTATTTCTTGTTCATATTTTTCACGTATAGTAAATAAAACAAGTTCATAATCTTGTTGTGAATGTGCTGTTGATTCAAAATGTTCTCATTTATTCACTTTTCGATGAAGACTATCCATCAACGATTCAGAATCGGAGAATTTCTTTTCAAACTGTTCAATATAAGATATAATTAGAGGAACAAAAAATGTGAAACTTGATCAAGAAGAGTATTATATTTCGTAAGTTTCCATTGATTCACTTACTTAGTTAGAAAAATGTTTAACAAATTCAAAATACTGTCCTTCGTTAGTAGTTGATTATGATCATATTGGCCATAATAATGATGATTAAAGTTATATGACTATTCGTTACAGAATGAACTGATTTTTGAAACACAAAACCAAAGTTTCATTCCGATATAAACCCAAAAGTTTTGAGTCAATTTTGATGTTAGTATACATGTCTACTTCATTAGGTTTTTTTTTTATCGAATTAAGCTTCTCATTGTTTATTGATAGTTCATTTTCAGTATTGAACTTACGAGAGAACCTTCTGAGATTTTAAAATGCTTTCGACCCTATTGTTGATATGTTACTTAGAGAACTTCAGTTTTTCATTATAATCATACTTTCGAATTTCGACCAAAAATTTTGCACAAATATAGATTT